AACCAGAGAACCTGTTCGTTGTATAGTATAATACGGTCTCTTAAACGAGAGCCTGGAAGTAGAAAAAGTGTATATTTGCTCAATCAGAAAGGAGCGTGGTATGTGTATGTGCCTCCATATAGTGTATTTTCTGCCCCAGTTGTCTGATGTAGCTGTAGTAAAATGGCCCCTTGTTTGGCTTCATACTTCACTGTTCATACATAAGAAGTCAACAAAATGTTGGACCTTAACAGGATTTGGATCAAATGTGTGTTTTCCTACAGGCTTCAGTTGGCTTTGGATCAGACTATGCAAGAGATCAAAATGGAGACCTGTATTTTGGAAAGAAAAATGTAAAAATCAGCTAATGCAGTGTTGGTTTTCAGTGTCTTACTAGATAGACCACTTACTGTGTGTTTGATGCTGGAGAAGTCATGTCTCCTCACTTTCTTGATTAATAAAATGGGAATTATACCATCCACCTTCCCAGCGGCTCTCTGAAGCTTGTGTAGTGCTCACTAAAGTGCTGTGATGAAAGGTGTGTGTTTGTAAACAGTGTGTCATTTAATGTTCTTATTACCTGTGATTTAATAGAAAGTGTATGGCAAAATGATATGTTTTTAACTCAGCAGTGACTCAGACATGATGGTGATCATGATGTGTGGTTTGTGGTGGGCGTTTTTTTAGTGCTATCTGTATGAGTAGGACTAGTTTATTATTTCCATACTTTGAGTTGGTATACCTGATATTTAGACTGAGCTGCTATCTCTATATGTGCATATTTCTACATAAGGCTGGGGACTGCATTGATTACTGTGGTGCTGACGCCATGGATGAAGGTTGTGAGAGTCTGGTTCTCTGTTCTGAGATCATCTCCAAATCTGCGGTTGCCATCCTCAGTCATGGTTCTGCCAGCAAGGGAGTTCACCCAACTGTATTATTCATGCCATGGAATAGTCCCTCAGGAAAAGTTGTCGGTGACTGTCATACATCTTCAGAAATACATTGCTCTGAAAAGAAGGAAGAGAATCTGAAGTGTTGGAAGGAGTTATCTATGTGAGCTGCCCATACCAGGTCAGAAATACATTAAGCATCTAGTTCAGAAGAGCACCCAGAACACTGGCTCTGTATACCATCAAACCAAACACCATGAGCCACAACACCATTCTTTATGCCCCTTTTTACAGCTAGGACCTGTCATAAAAGTTCAGAAGCTGGTTTCTGTCGCCACTGGCACAGGTGTAAGCCAGGAGCAGTTCTGCTGGCATTACTATGACATGAGAGGGTCTTCTCTCGTAAGTGCAAAATAAGTTAACAATAGTCAGTTTTATGTGGGAGGAGGGTGGGTGCTACTGTACGACAGATTTCAAGGAGATATGATCCAATCTAACCAATACCACAACATTGTTCACAGTGTTTCATCTCTGAAGTAACTCTCCCAAGACCAATTGAGATAATGAAACTGGGAGCATTTCTCATTCTTGTTAGATGAAAAATTGTCATGGAAATGAAAGTGGTGGCCGACAAGCCAAGTTACATTCTCAGTGCATTAAAAATCAGGAGATTTTGCTCCCCATTTCTTGTTGAGGTTATCTGATGAGTTTTCCTTTCACTAATGCTGTGCAATTTTGAAGCAATAGCTTTGCTTTGGAAGTCCAACACTACAAAGTTTTAATTGACAGTATGTGATCTGGGATGGAATGACAAACCTCTCATCATTGATTGTTGATTTGAACACAGTGCAGCAACATGTTGGAAGTCTAATGCTGAAGGAGTTCCTGCAATGGCTTAGTGATTCAGTCCAAAGCAGGGGAGTGGCCATCCTACCATTAACTACTGCCACTTTATTGCTGAAGCAGTAAAGATGCTTTCAGAGCCCACAGACTCAGGCTAGAGCTTTCCCATTAGCTTCAGTCTCTGAAGTGTCCAAACCTAAAGTGTCTGTGTTTTAATCTCTGCTAAAAATCAGGTGAGCCTATTCTTTTGTCACTTGTGAGTAAAGTGAAAGCTTATTTATTCCAGGGAAGTAATGGTGATGCTGTTTGTAACTGTTTAGAAAAGCCTAGCTGAACAGGTTGCTTGAGTGGGGGGAGTAAGGGCAGCTGCGTAACCTGCAGGAAAGCAGTCTGTTTCAGAAGTGAGGGGGTGACTCTCAAAATTCTTGTTTATTTCTTAATTTCTGTTAGCTTTTGAGTGAAGACAAGGGTTAATTAGATAGCAAATACTCTCAAGGAAGCAGAAGGAAATATTCTGCTAATATTTTAGCAGAACTAAGTGTCTAAGACAAGTTAAACAGTGAGTTTGACTTCTACAGTCCAGCTTTGCAAAGATAGTATGTAGTTTTGTATTATGTAAAGTGATAGAAAGATGAAACAGGAAGAGCCTTAGCTTTTATTGCAAGATGCAGAACAGAAGACTCTCTGTACAGGAAATGTATAGGAAATTCTTGTTTGTTCTGATTCTGCCTTGGTGGGTTAAAGAACAGTTTCATCTGGCTGCATAGTAGAATATTCTTTTGGATTAGTCTTTGGGTTGAATTTGACCATGATGTATGTGCGCTTCCAAAGACAATTTCAACATCTTACTCCTGGTGATAATAGTTATTTGTTTGAATGTTTTGGTTGCTTTTTCTTGGCATTAATTGGTTTTGTGCAGACTTACTGAAGGTATGGAGACAAGTGGGAAAGAGGACATTTTTAATATGATTAATTATGTTTGCATATTCACTAGAAAATAGCTTATAAAATATGGTGTCATCAGTGAGTACTTCAAAATGTGTCTTTTGAAGATAAGTTTTATTTGGTGCTCAGCTTGTTGTTTTAAATAAAAACTCCTCTCATGTTGTGGTGAATACTTACAGGTGAGGAAGGGAGTCAAAGTAGCCACATAAAAGCATCAGGTATATTAAAGTGGGGAAAAAAGTAGTTACCTGAGCTTTAAAACTCTGGAGCTAACATCCTGATTACTTCAAACTGGGACATTGGCTCTATGCCACCTCAAAGTGTGTCACTCACAAGCTCAGTCTGTGCAGCACTACTCACCTATGCTTTGAAAGGTTTTTAAATAAACAGCTGACTGCCACAGAGCATTTAAGAGCTGGAGGTTATGGGTCTTAGTAACAAACAAGAAACTGTAGGCCAAAGTTGTCTCTTTAAAGTGCCTTCATTTCCTGCCAATGACACTTAAATAAATTGTTCCAAGGCTAGCTTTGTTTAAAGTCTTCTTTCCTGACCTTTGCCAGGTTTCAGGATCTCTGTGTTTGAACATTACCCCAAGGGGCTTGTCAGATAGAACAATAATCACTCTCGAGTTCATCCCTGAACTCATATTTTGCTGGCACAGAAAGAATGGCTGTTTATAAACACATGATTAGAGTATTCCTCCATTGTGCTATCAGCAGAAGGAAAAAGAATCACTTATCTGCTGGTTTTGTTTAGCTGCTGCTTGCTGGCAAATGGGCTGGATGCTGATACTTCAGCTATTTGGGAGAGGGTTTTTTATGGCACTTACATTCTATTGTGTGGGAATAGGATCTAGCACACCAGATTTCCCTTTGCTTAGGTACATGTTGCTTTCTTGTGGTGCTTAAGAAAAAAGAAGCACCTTTTTCTCTTCCTTTCTGCCCCTCAGCAAAGCTTTGGGCCCTAGTAAAATTTTCATGGATGTGATTTCTGTTAAGGGAAAAAGTGGAGCATGCATAATCCCATGATGAGAATTCATCAGCCACTGATAGGGTAGGATTTTTGTAGTGCTGTGCAAATTTAAAACATACTGTGTTATTTAATTTAAAGAATGCACATCATGAAATGTTTACTCTCTGTCTTTAACCATAAAACCTTCAGTAGTAAAACAAAAGCCTAATTGAGATAGCCCCTATCTGCCCTGTCACCTACTAATTGCCTACATTTACTGATGATAATACTCTTCTGCACATGTGTATATAAGAAAAACAAAGGCTTTAATGCAGTAAATTATTTTTTCAGTCAGACTGGCTGTTAAAACCATTCTTTGTTACAGGAGTAGGTTAGATGGGATGACACAAAGTCTATGCTTTTCCTTTTGTAAGAACGACAATGCCAAGTATTTCCCTGTAGAGAAGATGAATAGAGCTATAAAGAATGGCAGCCTCACCATTGCTTTCTAATCATCCTACACAATCCAATAGAAAATTAAGACCACTAAATTCTTGAAGGTAGATCAAGAAAAATAACAATCTCTGTAGAGTTCTGTGCGAAACAGGAATTATTTCTATGCAATAATGCAGTTTTCCCTCTAACTAGGGTCTATGAGGTTTGCAAAAACAAATAGCTTGTTAATTAAAAATAGAGAACAAATAAGGAAAAATCTTGTGTGGAGATTTTTTTTCCTACAAAGAGCAGCACTGAAGCTATCACTCTAGGAGCAGTTTGATGAGACTTCTAAATTGTCACATAGTATTTTGTCTACTAAATTTATACATACATTATGTATGGTATGCAGTCACTGTAAAAAGGCAGCAAAGTTATAAGATTGGTTTGAAAATGATCGAAACATGGGAAGATTTTACGAGATTTATTGAATTGCTCTCTTTATGATAGCTTAAGAGCCTCTATTTCGGTAGATATTTAAAAAGGACAAAGAAGTTAATTCCTTTATGCTTTAAAAAATGAGACTTTTTTTTTTTTCCTTTTAAATGATCATCAGGATATGGGTTGACCAGTTTTTAAGGCTAGCTTGTTATATATTTGCTTTTCAGCTCATAATTACTAGAAAATGATGGTGAAGCAGTAACAAACTGACAAGACCAGACTTGAGCTTAATACTGATGTATATTATTTCCATATCCTTAGGGACATGAAGCCTTTTGGGAAGACTTTCAAGAGGAATAGCTAATAAACTGCTCTGAAGTTGATAGGAGCTTCTCTGAGAAAAAGAACAGGGCCTGGAGGACCTGTGATAGAGAACAACTGTTTTCAGATACCTGCATTAAATTTCAGCTGTGTTTTTTCTCCCATCTGCCACAGAGCAGAAGATTAGCAGACATGTCCATAGCACTCAAGCAAGTCTTTAATAAAGATAAGACTTTCCGCCCAAAACGCAAGTTTGAACCTGGAACCCAGAGGTTTGAACTTCACAAACGAGCACAGGCCTCTCTGAACTCAGGTGTGGACTTGAAAGCAGCTGTGCAGTTGCCCAGCGGAGAAGACCAAAATGACTGGGTGGCTGTCCATGTTGTTGACTTCTTCAATAGGATCAATCTCATTTATGGAACTATCTGTGAGTTCTGCACAGAGAGGACCTGCCCAGTGATGTCTGGAGGCCCCAAGTATGAGTACCGGTGGCAGGACGACATGAAGTACAAGAAGCCCACAGCGTTGCCAGCACCCCAATATATGAATCTTCTCATGGACTGGATCGAGGTGCAAATCAACAATGAGGATATATTTCCTACGAGTGTAGGTAAGTGTGAGGAAGAAGTTCAGAAGTATAAACTGCCTTTCATTCTATATACAAAGCATATTCTCTTCCAGCCTGTTGTTAGGGATTGTGAAAGTCAAGCCTTTTTAAAGGTGGTAAGGAGGAGGGTGTCTTCCAGTATGAAATGTTAACTGTGGCTGCTAGATATGGTGGGGTTTGCTAGCCTAAAATGTTTTCATTCTAGTCATTTGTCCCTGGTAAGCCTCTCAGGTTAATCACTAAGAGTGGTCAGCGCTGCATTATTAGCTTGTTGAAAGCTAATCAAGTTTGCATTGCTTTACACTTTGGCCACTTAGGAGATACAGAATGGATGGAAAGCAAAGCCTAATTAGCGTGGTACCCTCCCTCACAAGTTTGTACAGCTATGTGCAGTACAAGGCACTGGAGAGTCAGGAAGGCAGAGTCTCTGCCTTCCCACCCTCTCCTGACTTCCCATCCAAAACTGACAAATCGAGAAGTGAATTATTCTCCAAATTACTGTTTCTAAGAGCTTTGCTGTGTTTTAACCAGACAGCTCATATAAAAGAGAGCTGTTAAGGGCACAATTTTACTTTCCTAATACTATAGTTTGCTTTCCTGAAGAATGGGGCAAGTAGGTGGAAGTCTCTTTGCTGGAATAGTTCCTTCTGGATGAAGAGGATTTTGCAGAAAAGTGCATCGTGTAGAGTAGACAGCCTACATCTTTAGCTGTGGCTGCAGGTAATAAAGACAGGATGTTATACCTTAGAGATGTCAGTATACTTATGTAATTTTTAGCAGTTTTAGTAAAAGAGTCCTGATTCACTTCTTGCAAGTGGGAAAGCTGGGAGCTTGGCCTAGATAAGTAACAAACAAGAAGAATGCTCATAATTTAAAATTAATTCATGCAACTGTTTTGCAGTTTGTATGCACCTAGGGCCTGTGGCTAAGTGGTAGATAATACATCAAGAGGCTGCATCTATCAGTATTTCCTGATCTTCGAAATACCGTATTCTTGGCCTTGACAGCTATTTGTCTGGACAAACTTGTGGTTTGTTTCCCAGTTCCTATCAATTTTCTACACTAATAGGTAGAAGGAAGGCAGTAACTATATCTTTTAATCCAGACTTTGGCAGCATAGCAAGAAGGAGGATTTCAAAGGAAGCAGTACTACATTTTCTGTGTAGTGAAAAATGGGTTTGATTTCTCAAGCATTTGTTGTTTTATGTTTCTTCAGGGTGAATGATTTTTGGACTTGAAAGTGCAATGAAGTCTGTGATTTTGCTTCCACTGGTATTTCTGCAGGCTTTTGTTATACCAAGTTCCATCTTGGAGTGTTCCAATATTACTCTGCTCCTCCAGTTTGCATACATAGAAAATGTGGTCTGTCTGCAAGCATGGGGAGCAGGTAGCATACTAGCATGCTGATGGACTTTACTGAAGGAACAAATTATCTATAACACACAAGCTTTCAGCTCTAGATGCTCCCCCCTTATGTTTGTAGTAAGATCTGGAGAAACTTCTACCCTGAAGGCTTACCTATTGTAAGCCTAAGAATGAAATCAGTAAATACTACTGTTTTTCAGTAAATCGGTAAATCTACTGTTTTTCTCATCCCAGCAGCTCCTGCTGTTGTAGATTCAATCAGATCTGAAGAAACTGAGGAAGGGGAGAGACGTGTGGTCTCTAGAATGGGGCTGGACTCTGATACAGGTCAGAACAGGAATGCTTGATGTTTGTGAAAAATCTGCATCTCACTCTGAATGGACCCAACTGAAGGGGAGAAGTCTACTTGAGCCTTCGTGGAGTGGTGGACTGTGCCATGGTTATATTACAGACTGAGGTGACTGGACAGTCCCATAAAGAGATTGTATAGATACTCTGGACCATTATTCCATAGGGCAGCGCTTGTATCCATATTCCACTCTCCCCTTCTCTTGAGGTTTTGTTGCAGATACCATAGTGGCCACCTGCACACTTTACGTTATCTTCTTGATTCACCAATTTGTGGTGTGAAACTGTTGGTAAAAATGTTTGGCAGGCCTTAGATTTTATGATTCAGAAACAGATCCACACTGCAATACATTTGGCATTCTGACTACCTCTTCTCTTGGCAAGTCCCTACTTCAGCACCCAAATGATCAAAGGGAAGTTTGGGTCTATGCCTGGGTAAATTACTTTTCTTTCAAGGGAATCTTTTTGATTTCTTTGCGCATCAGTCCCCCTATCTGTAAAATGGAAATGATACTACCTACCAGCCTGAGTACTGTGTATAAAGTTTAATGAAATGCAGTTGCTTAGCATGTATATTGTTACATGTTTTGCTTTTCATAATTGATCAGAATGTGAAGCTTTGTTATTGTCTTCAGTACTGTTTGTTCCTACCTGTCCTGCAGCAGCCTTTGGTTAGATGCACTGCAGGCTTAATATTAATGCAGACCTCTATTTTCGTTCAGAGAAATTAATGATGGGTAAAATGAAGATTGTCATTCTTCAAGGAAGCTGAAATAGGTAACAGGTTTAGGTATGTCCTTACTAATAGTGCAACAGTTTTAAAGCATTGAGTGGCTGTATCTTAAAGAGATTCATTTATTGTTTTGAATCTCTGTTGCATATAATCTGCAGAGAATTGTTCTGGAAAAAATGTATGTCCAGTGTATGGGATTTAGGCTGACCTTTCCATTAGCAAATGAGTTTCATGAAGAGATCCAGAGCAGGATTCATAAGAGCTGTCCAGAGAAACTTGAACACATTTCTCTCAGCTTAATCCTATTAAACTGTTTCTCTTTCATTTGTCATATCTCATGCAAGTTGTCTAAAAAAGGATTTCAAGAACTATGATTAAGTTCAAAGAAAATCATTTCAGGGGAGGGGTAGCCAGGGTTGGTGTTTGGTTGTTTTTTTTTTGGGGGGGGGGTGGTGGTGTGGTGGTGGTGGTGGTATTTCTCTGTGGTTTTAAAAAACCCACTAATGCAGTTGAGTTATAAATTGTTATGAATGTTATATTTAACCCTCTCGGTGTTTACATTGGCACAACGACCTCTGGCCACTTAGCAGCCTCTGTGCTTCCTGTGGTCTAGTGCTATTTCCTCTCTGCTTTCTCCAGTCATTCTGGTCCATTCATTTGCTGGCAAAGAGCCTCTTCCTCCAGCCGCTCTCCTAATACTAAACTGTCTGGCAGGAGAAAAGGGAGCTGGTATGGGAACAGAAGAGCTGTCAAGAATTGTGTGCAGGTGACAAAACCAGGTGCTGAATATTAAGAGCACTTCTTTGTGTAGCAAAGCTTTAAGGACCGTCTTTGGCAAATGGCCTCACAGCCTGTAGAGGATTATAGACATGATTATGTCCTTGTTCTTATATCCATTATTCTCAATTTCCTTTATGAATTTTAAGTGGATTTAAGGCATGTAAGAGGCCGACATCTCTGGAAAGAAGATCTATATGTAACCACAGATATACTCTGGCCTGTCTCAGCCCTCACTGAGTGGGAATGCATGAACAGAATGGAGGAGAGTTCACTCTGTATGCCTGCTCAGGCCACTCTGGTGAAGCTATCCATATTAGTCCCCAGCATGAATTTTTGTAGTGTGCTGGAGTTTTATTTAGCTTTGGGGTAAACTCTTCAGTAAATACTTCTTGCTCTTCCAGGCACCTACTAATCGCACTATTTAAATATCTTTCAAGGGATGTATTTCCCAGGCTTATATAGACAACTTAAATACTCTATAGCCTCAAAAGTGCTACGGGAAGCAGTAGATCCTTGGAACAGCTGCAATTTTTGGTGAACTGGAGTTGTCAGCTTTCATCAGATGTATTTGGGCAGTGTCAAAAGAGGAACTAAGAGATAAAGAAGCTCTCTTCCGCTGTGCTCTCTTCAGGCCCTGATTGCTAAACAAGACAAATTCAGTTGCCTTAGGCTTTTTTCTCCTCCCTATTGCAGCCTTAGATTGGGAATAATTCTCTTGTTTGGATTTTCAGTGAATGGACTGGATTTTCTTCTGCTGTAAGAGTCACTAGGAAAGATATCCAGTTATATAAGGCCATAGGGGATTATTTCATTTCGTTGAGTCACCATCCCTGGAGGTACTTAAAACATGCATCGATGTGGCGCTCAGGGACATGGTTTAGTGGTTGGACTTGGCAGTGCTAGGTTAACGGTTGGCCTTGATGATCTTAAAGGTCTTTTCTGACCAATATGATTCTATGATTCTATTTATTTTAATCTGACCTCCAGTTTAACACAGGCCAGAGAGCGTCACCATGTGATTTCTTCCATCAGGTCCATAGTTTGAAATCAGAAGACAGTCAGAAGACAGAGAGTTCTGCTGAAATAAACAAGAACATGAAATTCTTTTCTGACTTGACATAATGAAATGTTTTTCCCCATGAGGACAATAAAGCAGTTGAGAGGGGGACCAGAGAGGTTGTGCTGTCTCCATCCTTTGGGTTATTCAAGACCAGGCTGAATAAAGCCCTGAGCAACCTGATCTGATCTGATGGTTATATAAAGCAGAAAGCTGGGATGCCAACCTCCCAAAATCTGTGCCAGCCTGAATTGTCCTGTAATTCTTATTCTAGTTTCAGCACTGACCAGCTGCTTTAGGAACAAGAGCTAAATTGATTAGAAACTGATTAAGCAGTTAAGAAGCTGCAATATTTCATTTAATGGAAGGACAAAATCACTTTTAAGCTATGACAGTTTTTTTAGAGGAGGATTTCAAAGGTTATTAAGTTACTGTGATCAAATAGCCTAGTTATGGCTGATCAAAATGAAAACATACTTTTAAAGTGTTTGAAGCCTAGGACTTCAGCTGAAAAATTAATGCATCTTTAGAAAATACACTGCCTGGTCCATGCTTAACTAGAAAATTTTGTAGCTGACAGCTTCACAGTTTTTGCACAGACCATGTGTGTGACGCTACTTCCAAAAGAGGAGCCCAGTATGTTGCCACAGTGCATCTACAAAAGCAGAACGAGACTTTCGAGGGCTCTTGTGGATGTGAATCAAAACAACCACTAAACCAAGAACTAAACTTTTCCAATTTTTTCTTACAAATATAATGGTAGAATTTTTCTGGTTCTCTAGCCAGTAATAATAGTTATCACTTGGGGAACTTTTCTGCAGGGTCAGGAGAGCAGCTGACTGGTGAGTGTGACTAGAGACTCCTCAGCT